CTAGGCAAGTCTGGCACTAATTAGCCGCTCCCGCAGAGAAGAGACGTTTGGTGAGCCCGATAGGTGGTCTAAACCAGTACCATGCTCGTGACGGACGATATCACTACTACTGCTTTGCCTATCCACCGGTAGGTCAGGAAATTGGCAAAAAACACCCTTAGAAAAGTAGTTATAGAATGCGATAGGTTTCTTTTCAAAGAGGTTACCTTGAGCATTCGCCTGTTTTCGTCGTCTTTCTTCATCGGCGCGTAAACGGGCAGCATGCTGCTGAAAAGCCATGCATCTATTGCTTCAGGAAATTTTTTTTTATTTGTATTCATATAATCAAAGATGTGGCACTAATGACTGCGTTCAACTTGTATGTATGGTCCGCCCATTTGGGCTCCAGCAAGTGAGGTAGTTTGGCCTCCATTGAATAATTGTTATCTTTGCTACTGGCTTGTAACTTCTTGTTCAGTTTAATAAACACAAAGAACAGCAATTACTATTTAAATATAAAAACTATTAATGTTAACTTTTTCATTTTTTGCCTATTGTTATTCATCATGGCAGGCTATGATTTGAAATACAATCACTAGCTGAAATATTTGCAAAACTTGGACCACAGGCCAGATTCGAACCCACCACTACCCGTGCCGGGTGCTCATGTATTGCCCATTGCACCACTGAGACTCTTGCTTTGCCTTTTTCTCACCCAGCTCTTTACCTAACGGTACCGTCAGCAATCAGCCGTCAACGGGGATGATTACCTGTATCACTTGCAGTCCCGTTGTTTGTCGAGTGACTCGAGCGGGCGCCAGTAAACCTTCCATTTTTTGTTGTCGCGTGCAAGAGTAGTCCAGTGGATTCTGATCGCTCTAGAGACTCGTCAAGCATCATATCTTTCTTCCAGACTCTTCGTGAAGAACTGAGACCATCGGATCGGTGGTCTTCCTACAGTACGTTAGACATCACGAGGAATCCAGTCACTAACGGCTCTTCTCTATTGGTTGCCATTCATACGAATTACGTGTCCGGCACATCCTATCTTCGACTGTTTGGCGTACAAAACGGCATCTTCGATTTTTGATCGATGACGCAGAGCGGAGCTTCGAATACCATCCCTTACCTGTGTGAAACGGGGTACTCCTAGCATCATCCTTTCGACTGTGTGTTCAACAACGCTGAGTGATTTTCCATCCTGTTTAGGCAGCGACTGGGTTTCTGACGCATACGTTAGAGAAGGAAGTACCGTTGAGTCGAAAAGGTGGGCATGGAGTTGGGTGTTCTTTATTCTCTTCACTACATCCTCGATGCTCTTGAAAGCTCCCTAAGCCCCTCATTTCCTTCTACTCAACTCTGGAGCTAAGTCATTCATCATGTTGATTTCCCGACCTAGACAGACATAACTCGAGCATTCAGAGATATTCGTTCCGTGGAGCGTGAATGGGGCATACGAAACCAATCGGTTCTTAATGAACATCGTCCTTGTAAGATTTAGTCGAAGACCTCTTTCCACAGGCTTCCGGCAAGCACACGTTCGGCTTCGCTAATGTTTGGCGTTATAAGGACGATGTCATCAGTAAAGCGAAGATAGTGTAACTGCCGACCATCGATTTTCACTCCCATATTATCCGATTCCAATGCTCGCATGACGTTCAGGAGAGTGGTGGTAAATAATTTTGGCGAGATGGTATCACCTTGCCTGACTCCTCTTTTGACGCTGATGTTAATATCGTTGTAGAATGGTGATATCTTGGCTGTGAAATTTTTGTACAGCTCACGAAGAATCTTTATGCACTGAGTAGGAACTATCAAGGGCTTCCAAGACTGCTTCTATCTCAATTGAATCAAAGGCCTTCTGTAAATCGATGAAAGTGAGACAGAGCGGTCTTTTGTGCTCTCGCGATACTTCAATGAGCCTTGTTATCGTGTGGATGTGGTCCATCGTGCTAAATCCTTTCGAAAGCCTGCTTACTCACGTGGCTGTCCTTCGTCCAGTGTTCTGTCAATCCCGTTTAGGCCGACTCGAGTGGAAAGTTTGTAGACGACAGACAGCAGATTTGGTGATAGTTTCCGAAATCGTGTAGGTCACTCTTCTTGAACAATAACACAGCCTTGCTGGTTTTCCACTGAGTAGAGACCTTGCATTCAGGCAGGTAACGTGTGAAGAGCCGAACCAGTGTGTTCACGAGAATTGGCGGAAGGTACTTCAGGTGTTCTGATCCTATCCTGTCCGGACCTGGTGCTGTTGGATTTTTCACCGACGAAATGGCATGTCGGATTTCGGAAGGGAGAACTGGTAGTAGAACATATCCATCCTCCTTTATTTCATATTACGGAAGGTGGACTTGGCTATCGAAGAGATCTGAGTAGCATTCGTGAATGATTTTCTCAATTGCCTTTCTAGACGCTGTAACTGTTCCGTCTGGGCGTTGGAGTGCAATCACCTTGGTCTTGTGAATGGTGAAGCGTCGGAGTACTTTGCGTTTGCTTTTCCCAGCCTCTGCAGCTTCGACCATTACTGCTGCTCTTCTCTCTTTAAGATTTTCTTTTATCGCCTCTCTGCATTGTTTTGCAAGATCGGACATCAGTTCGCGGTTGCCTACAGCTCGTGCGATTCCAGGCTGGCGCATCAGCTCGGTGTTTTCTAGAGACAGACGTCATTTGGTAACTTTCGAACTCTCAGCTTTCATAGCGCTAATGTGAAGATATTAAATGAGCCGATCGTATTCTTCGTCGAAGTTATCGACAGCGGCATCATCCCAATAGCCAACTAATAAATTGCTAAATCCCACTTTACGGTTGTTCTGGGACTTCGGTTTTGGAATTTATCGCCTCTTTCTCCTTTCCGCGAGAAATAGAATCTTGCACGAAGGAGGTGATGGTCTATGGACCCTGTGTGGAATTTTGAAACAACAGCGACATCGGTTGGGCAAAACCGTCTATTTACTATGATTTCATCTATTTCATTATGGTATTTTCCATTGGGAGACTCCCACGCCCAGCGTTGAGGATGGGACTTCTGGAATTGCGAGCGACCGTGGATGGCCTTGGTCGCCATGATAAACTCAGATAGCCGCTCACTGTGTTCCTTCCATTCTAATCCATGGGCTCCAATGTGACGTTCTTCAGACGTTCTTCTTGGTCCAATCTTAGCGTTTTCCAATGATGACCATGAAGAATGTATGGTTTTCTCTCTAGAACTTCTCCAAGTCCATTTAGAACGCTTCGACTTCTGCTTCGTTATAGTTTGATGTCGGCGTGTAAACGACAAAGATTGTCACAGCCGGTATTGATCCACACATTTTTAATAGTAACCGTCCGATTCGGGTTGTAAGCTGTTCGAATGAATCGATGTTCATGGACAAACTCGTGTTGACGAAAACGCCGACGCCGCCGGCGCCTCTACTGTTGAATGTTCTGAAGAACAGTTCTTCTCCAGTGTCATAGACGGCGTTGAAAGGCTGGCATCTTCTCGTCTTGGCCAAGCCGATGACGTCGTGCTTCTTGCTTGCATGAGCAAGTTTTCTATCGAGGACTCGGATGCAAGTGTACGTGCATTGTAGGTACAGATCGTCATCATAGTTCTTTGAAATCCAGGTAGTCTCCATTGGCCCTGAGATTTTAGCAGCCTCTTCGTACTCGTCTTACAACGCTGCTTAATTGGAGGCTCTTTCGGGGTGAGGCGCATGAGGCCCGTTTTTTTAACTGTGCTTAGCATTTTTGATACCCGCGTATAGCTTGATGGGATCTGAACGTGGAGGCTGGCTATACTCAAGGGTAGCTTGCCAGGCTCTCCCAGAGTGGACATGGAGCTTATTTGTTGGAGGCGACTCCTAACCACTTCCCACATACTTCCCTGTCACTTGATTGCAGGGTTTTGGTCGAATTGACTCGTAGAATACAATTCGCATGAGCGAGAACGCATCCACACACGCATGCATGAATACGCCTAGCAAATACAGGAAGTATGTGCCAAATGGGCGCAGCAGAAACAGGGAGTCTATCTCCTTGTTCCACCTGCGTCTCAGGGAAGTAAGGGTCGCTTTGGTCCGCGATTAACTCCGTATCCGCCACCTGGGGACACGCCACGTAGCCTCGCGACTAACCGGCTGGAGCTTCCTCATATGAGGAAGATCCGTGATTAGGGATGATATGAAGCATTAAACCTAGCGAAGCTGTGGCTGTAATTGGAACCACTGTGTTAGTTTGTCTTTATTTTCGGCTTACTATTATTGAGGGTTTGATGTGAAATTCAACCACTCTGATGGTTCAACCCTCAATAATAGTAGGCCGAAAATAAAGACAAACTAACACAGTGGTTCCAATTACAGCCACAGCTTCGCTGGGTTTAATGCTTCATATCATCCCTAATCACGGATCTCCCTCATACAAGGGATCTCGAGCCGGTTAGTCGCGAGGCTACGTGGCGTGTCCCCAGGTGGCGGATACGGAGTTAATCGCGGACCAAAGCGACCCTTACTTCCCTGAGACGCAGGTGGAACAAGGAGATAGACTCCCTGTTTCTGCTGCGCCCATTTGGCACATACTTCCTGTATTTGCTAGGCGTATTCATGCATGCGTGTGTGGATGCGTTCTCGCTCATGCGGTATTGTATTCTACGAGTCAATTCGGCCAAAACCCTGCAATCAAGTGACAGGGAAGTACGTGGGAAGTGGTTAGGAGTCGCCTCCAACAAATAAGCTCCATGTCCACTCTGGGAGAGCCTGGCAAGCTACCCAACAAGAGTGATGGCTGAGGGAAATGAATATTAAGGTCCTCAGTGGTGCAGTGGGTAAAACGCGAAAACTCATAAAGGGTAATCACCAGTTCGAATCTGACCCGGAGTCCAAGTTTTGCAAAAATAGAATCAACCACTTAGAATGGTAAAGCAAGGGCCTCAGTGATGCAGTAGGTAATACGTGACTCCCCGGAAAGGGTAATCGATGATTTGAATCTCGTTTGGAGTTCAAGTTTTGTAAATAAGAATTGCTAATTAGAGACCTTGTTGATTTTTACTAATCAAATTCATTTTCAATCGCTTGAATACTCACTCTCCTCTGGTCCAGTTGCCTTAGATATTCTTCATTGTGAGCTTTTCTTCGGCTCTCATAGTCACTGAAATCCAAGTTGAACATCATGGAAAGATAGAGAAAAAACTTTGGCGATTCAACGTGGCATTTACCATCGATAATGCTTAATCATTTCGTATTTTTACTTTTTCACGGGTATCTTGTCTGCCGTTTTTATCCAAAACCGAGTTCACCATCGATTCTAACTAGGAGGCCATAAAAGCTCTAAGGATAAAGCTCTGGGCGTTGATCGATCTCTGAGAGACCTGCCATGCATTCGACTTTATTAAGTATCGTTGGAGATGATTGAATATATATCTGGCCTTTACAATGACTCGCGGTGGCCTACCGATGTATCGAGCCAGTGCTGCTATCCTCCCGGACAAGTTTCGTACCAGTTCGCCGACCACGAAGGGATGGAAAGCTTGGTGGGCCATGGGCGCGGGGATCGATTCCAAGTGTGTGTCGGAGTGGCGCCTCCAACCACTGCGCTACACCCGCCCTAGAAAGCTATGTGTTCAAAAATTCTGCACAAGCGATTGAACAGTTCAAAAGTACTTCAAATAGAAAGGAGGCCAATATGCAGATTGTGTGCTATTATCTTGTACAACGACTCCTATACATGAAAAAAAAACAATTCAATTAATGTGGGTTACGTGGTACGATGGAGGTTAGATTATCCTGTATGAATGTTGTATGTTCTATGGATAGCGATAATTACGTGAACTGCAGTAGAAGATGGAGAGTGGCACAGGACGTCTTCAGGCCTCTAACACCGTCCACTGATCGCCACTTCGCTGATTGAAAGCTCCATACAAACTTGTTTGATTCAATAGTTCTGCCAGTTTAATGTTATGCCGTAAAAAACATGGGCTGATATTTCACCCATAATAAAAAGCTCCACACAATACACAGAGCACTCAAACACTGTCTTTTAACAAACGGAATGTTTCTCAACATCAAACCGGTTCCCACAGTTTAAATATTTAAGCAATATCTCGTTTTCGAAACCCTCTGAATACGTTTCAAGAAACAAACATCGCTGTTCCGGTCATGTAATGAGAACGGAGGACGACAGTTGAACGAAGAAAAAGCCTGGAGGAATCGAAATGACTTCAAAAGAAACCTCAAAAAGATAGGCCAATGTCTATTGCAGGTATAAACTAGCTGTCTCTACAGGTGGAGTCCACTTTTAGATGACCCTCAACCAGCAGCAGCATTCACATTTGAATGTGACCACACGTGGCCGGAAGATAGAAGACAACGAAATGAAGGAAAGAAAGAGAAGTTGGGACCAGCATCGGCACGTCAACATGGGCCATCTAAGCAAAGTCATGCAGAAAACTGCTGGCGCCAAACCAATAAGTTGATAATGACAATAAAAGCGGCGCAGTGGCTGGAAAACTAGACCACGAAGTATACGTGGCTTCAGAAATCACGCCGAATTAAAACTTCATAGAACGATTTAGAGTATAACTGTCGCTCTCAATCTCACACGTACTACTTTATGACAAAATATTAACGAAACCGTCCAGACTAACAAAACTGGAGTTTTGTTTTCCCATCAATTAGCACTACGCCATTAGTTTAATGAGATGTGTGCACTATTCTCAAGTGCGTTGTATTCAAGTTATCGAAGTCAAGGAGTTAGTAAGTTACTGATAGAATGTTACGAAACTGGAACAATCGTCAACAATTAAGCTCTAATTCAGATGAGCACAACAATGTGTGCTTGAAGGCATATGAAGGTAATAATCACCGAAAGGCTTTAAGGAGAGTCAGGTCGTCGCTTCAGAGGTATGCTGTGAACAACTGAACAAAGACACCGAAAACCGCGGGCAATTTTAACTGCAGATCCAAGCCTCACATAAATAAGCTTTGAACTTGTATCAAAATCTATTTTTTTGGTTGAGTTCTTCCTCCTCTGAGCCTTGTACTTGATATCGTACAGTCACCCCCCTTTTGCTATAGCTTCTGCAGTAATTTGCTTACGCATTAAAGTTCATAAAAAAAGATAGAGGACAACTGCTGTGTATCTCATTCACCGGCTTTATACACAACAGTTTCCATTAGCACTTGCTCAGGCTTCTGCTGCCGAGAGACCGTTATTGCAAGCGGTAATTAAAACCCAATTATAAGTGCCTTTTCTAACAAGAAACTTAATGATACCCTAAGAGAAAAAATGGGAACTCTGCTCAAAGCGTGCTTGATGGAAGAAAAGTTTGTCGAAATGCCACGAAATGGTAATTTTCTAATCGCATTATACAAATACAATATTTCCTTGTATAAATCACAGACGTCTGCCATGCTTTCCATAAAGCGCTTGTGATTGAAAAGAGACGCTATAAAGTTTTAAGAAGGCTCGACACATGAATTGGTTTAAAGAAGGATAATAGAAGCACTAACTCGATTCGAGGCGACTGTTCCCGTCCACGTTGGTGGTCGTGCTCAGGGATTCGTTGTGAGCCCACCGTAGTGGATTCTGCGTGTTGCTGTTCTGCACTAAAAAATTGGAACAAGGTTTTCTTTCTTTGTGCAAATCATATGTCTTCAACAAAACAAAAGTGAACGTTTTATTTATTTTCTGTTATATTTAAAATTTTTCTGCAACGGCTCAACATATTATCGTGGTCGTGGCTGTCTGGATGTCGGTCCGATGTAGTGGAGGGCCCATCCTCTCAGCATTCTTTCTCATGCTAATGAGCTCCATGTTTTCATCCGAAACTTTACTTAAGAGGAAATCAATGGTACATCAAAGCCCGCTAGCTACTTGTCGTTACGTTTTCGCTTGGCAAAGGACAAGAAGAACAAACGCCTACATCGTCATATGTGAGGCTTTTCCCGCCCGGTAATCTACTCGACGCACTAAGTGCAGTAATTATAAACCGTCAAAATCAATGTGCAAGTTTGTCTTCGCAAAGTTTCCAACAAATGACGGATAACTGACTGCAAGACGAGAAGCTTTGCAGGAATCAATGCATCCTATTCCATTCCATTGGTAAGCTAATACAAGGTTATTACCAAACATTTATTCAGCAAATTCCTTGACGTCTCCGTCTTCCTCTCAGCTGGCGATGCGAGTCGTTGGTTCACAGTCCCTCGCCCTCGCGTTGTGTTCCTTCGTCTTCGTATCGAGTCAAATCTTTTTCAGTAGAGCACCGCTCGAATGAGGCAACTTCACCCAGCAGCGCTTTTCTATATAAGACGATTGCTGTCGATAACGATTGTTCGTTGATAAAAACGTGTTTTTCAACGGATAATCCTGCAGCAGTTGGTATTTGATGGGCTTGCACGTAGTGAACTAGTGCTGTTGTAAAGCGAGTTCCTTTGAATTACGATATGAATGATCAATGTACCTAACCTATTCGACGGGCTAACAAGACGTTGTTGACAAATATTTATTCCAGAGAAGACGAAAACTTCGAAACGTTAACTGAACAAATGCTTAGTGACAACGTCGTGCTAGCTTATTAAAGAAATACGGTGCATAGATCATTTATACCGTGAAAGTCGGTTCACAGGAAACATTCACTACTATTAACTGCCACTTGCGAATGTGTAAACAAACTAGGGCTTTTTTGAACTACATCATCATCACCCATGTGTGCTAATCGTCAATTGGATGAACAAGGCAGGAGCATGATTTCGTTCTATTCAAGTCCAAAGAAAATTTGATCATGGTGCGCCCACCTACTTCTTCTCTGTTGTTTGTCATCTCTAGTACTGAACCGTGATGGCAGGGGGTAGTTTTGGGAATAGTTGTTTAACCAGATCGCAGTTTAACGACAGTCGCCCTTTATTTTTGACAGCCTACATAGCTGGACAGCCTGACATCCTTTACGTAGCTGCTCGAAGTAATCGACTTCAAACATGAATTTTCGAGGGTACTTACGAAGGAGTGAGGTTTTATTTTTATTTATTTACTACCTTTAAAGGACCTTACAACGTGGTTTTGCTTTCTTATTGCTTAGGTTTCTAAAGTTTTAATGTTAGCAGAGGACGATCCGTGAAATCAAAGAAATTGACATATTTCCTGCCTTATTCTACAATTCCTCGATGCTCTTACAAGTTGTTTTAACTTCTCCTACGTATCTCCCTATTTTCGCTTTTCTATTAGCTTTCCAGTAATGAAGAAAATCCCTCTATTTCGAACATCTTACTTAGTTCAAACCTTCCTTCCGATCCAACAATGTTTTGAAAGTTTTCCTTCCACCTGGTTCTAATTTTGAATTTCTTGTACGATGAAAAACACTTAGACAATAGACAATATAGAACCTTTAAGAGGATAAAAACTGCATCCATTAATCCGTTCCGGTCCAATTTATCATCTTTTTCGTTAGAAAAGGATATCTCTGTTGAATAATGGTTTAGCTAAAAGACGAAGCGCTGCTTTGTTAATTCTAGCACTTCGTGAGTATAGTTTGGTTAAAATCACTTAGGCATTTCACCTACCGTTCGCTTGCAGGCGGCTTATAAGGTTTGCCGTACTGATCTGTCTTCACCACTTCCGGTCTTACATAACGAAAACGAACGTGATTTCTGAAATAACGGTCACTATTTGTGACATGAAATAATAGGAATGCTTAAAATTATCGTAGTCTTGACTTTTTTTATCTTAATGAACTTGGCCGAAAGCGCGTAACCTTATAGAGTTTTCCCAGAGTTCGATTTTTAAGGCTATTAGTCACGAAAACAAAGTTATTTAAAAATAAATCACACTAAATGGCGTGAACCGATACCGTTTTTATTCCGTAGATTTGTTTCCATAGTAATCACTAGCTTCTTAGCTTTACTACTCTTCGAGACGAAAGACGATACCGTTGTGTCGTTGACGGCTAGATCTTATTAATAAGTGAGTTAGTTTCCAATAACTACCAAACCTGGATTGAAGACCGGCATCATCGTGAACTTCTGTCGATTTCGTCCGAGGTTTCGTTCTGGTTACCCATTCAGGTGGAGGGCGATGAACCTCATGAATGGCATTTGGATCTATCTGGTCCGATTCAGGTTGGACATCACGTATAACGTTTGGATCTGCCTGATCCCTTTCACGTTGAACTTCATGTATAGCGTTTGGATCCATCCGATCCGGTTCACTATTCGATGGATATTCACTATGTGACTGAAGTCGACTGTCCGAAGGTTGGCCACTGTATTGCTCCCTCACTGCACCTGACGACCAGGCAGGTTCAGCACTCCTCTCACTTTCTATGTGTCCGTGCCTCTAAAATCGTAAAGAAATTAGAGTTAGTTCACTATTATACAGCTTTCTTATTGACCAAGAGGGATTTTAGTGGCATTACATTGGACGCGACACTTGAACTTTTTGTAGCGGATAAATAATGTAGGGGGCGATAAATAATAAAAAAGAAAACGATGTCCAGTTAAGTGGAGATTTGCTACTTTAATAAGGAAATCCTCAAGTAGCAACCGAAGCAAACGTAGAAGTTGGAAAATCTTCGTGGACAATGGATGCGAGGAAACGAATCGAATGTGAGAAGTGCGTGCACAGTAGACGTGAAGACGGGTCATATAAAATGAAATGAAAAAAGTCGACTTCAGGTGTATTCAGAAACTGGACGCATCGACTCTCCTAACAACGTTTTGTCAACGAAATGGAAGAAAGGAAATCAGGAGATGGATGTATTAAAGAACTCTCACATTGCTACTTGGAACCTCTTGAAATAAAAGCCAGTCATAAACATTCGATATATACAGTTTCGAATCTTGAACTACGAAGAAAATTTGAATTGGAATTATAAAACAATAGCGCGTAAATACGACTTTCATTAGCCGGCAACATCTTGTGGGATTCGCCTTGAAGTGGTGCAGAGATATTTAAGAGACAACCGTTTTCTGGAGAGACCAGTTATAGCTGACGTTACACTGAGAAATCATCCCTGAACGGGTCGAGATTTTGATTACTATAAGATGCTCACTTGTCCATTCTGATGTGACTGCCATTCTGGTCGTAAGCCACCACCAAGATCTCTCACACTCTGAAATCGCAACAAATTTATCCTTAGACGAAGTCAACTGCCCTTTCTACCAAAGTATTCGTAAAGCACTCTAAAAATTTGTGCAACGTTTTGAAAAAAAAAACATTTGAAAATCTGCCGCGTTAAACCATCATTATGCTAAGTTGACAGACTACCAAACACTGGACGTTTGAAGGAAATCGAGGAACCTAAGCAGTTTGAAGCACACATTGTGGTTGAAAAGCGCCTTTTTGCTAGTAGCAGCAAGAACGAGTGGAATTGAATTCGCACGTATTGTGAACGATTTCATAGTTCCTACTGCGCATTCTTCCGCCAATTACACGTACATGATACAAGTTTATTTACGATATGTCATTAGTTCCTAAACAAGTTTCACACTTCTAGAAAATGAGTCATTTGTCGTTCGCGTAGTACATGCGTCGTTCGCTTCAAAGTCGAACTCAAACACTTTATAAATTTCCAGAGAAAGGTACATAACCAGAATGCGTATTAAGATTTTTGTTTAAAAATAGGTTAAATATCAACTTAAAAGTTGCTTTTTCTCCGAAGACGTATTAAGAGGGTAGGGTCTGGTCCTATTTATTTAAGAGATTTGCGAAAATGCGCATTGATCTCAGCACGCAGGTACGCGCTTCGAACAGTGCATGGTAGCGAATGCATTATGTGGAAGCTATGTAACAAATGTTCCCACTTGACAATCTCTTCATAGATTCTTATCTCACAATGACAGCTAATCCACTGAAATCCGTAAAATGAGGGATTTTTGAGCATGTTAATAGCTAGGGTAGCTGGTGCCCCAACAAATGTTGGAGTGAGATTAAATGTGGTCCATAAACGACATTGGTTCTCTATCTTTGTCTCTTGATCTGAAACTTCTTCACAGGCGTTCTGATACTTATCCGCGTATATATGGAAATGTACTGGTGCAGGTGGAATTTACACTGCAGAAATGCCCAAAAGGCTGAGACCGAGCGACTGGGAAGTTCATAAAAGGTCATTTGAGACCATCTCAAGAATCGCCTATTCTGAGCTAGTTGTAAGCATGGCCGGCCTCCATGACAACTTCGATCGACTATTAACATATCAGGGCATTTCACCTGGCTTTACTCCTCTTATATCGGCTATCCGTTCGATTACCCGATCAGATGCCAAAAAGTTTGATCGATTGCTTTTAAAATGCTTTTGTATATTAAGCAAGGACTAGCAGGTTGTTCAGAAGTTTCACGAATTCTTCTGTTTCATCTGAGTCGAGAAAGTTTTTAGATCAATTAAAAGAAAAAACAACGGTATTTTGCAATCGAGCAGCACTTCATTAAATTTTGTTACAGTGTGGATGTGATCCATAGTCCTTTTTCGAAATTGACTTATGTTGGTTTAAAGGCATGGCACGCAGCGTTGGGCTGATTGAGAGACATCAAAATTCATGCAATTTCTCACAAAATCGTTTTTAAAATTGAGCAAGTTTTTCACTGGGAATGTCGAAAACTTTGTGGTTTAACCTGTTAAAATTATAATACCCTTAGTATGCACCTGGGTAAGACAGCAGTAGACCAAATTTACTTGAAAAAGAAGCGTTTCGCAAAGGCAGGACCAATATTCATCAGTGATAAAATATAAAAGGACACTGTCGTGTGAGGCTACTTCATTCGAGCGGCGTTCCAGTCAGGAAGCTCCGACTCGTTACAACTACGAAGACTCACAACGCAAAGATGAATGACAGTGGACCACCGGTCAGAGTCAATCGCCTCTGGAGAAGACTAAGACGATAAGGTGTTATCCAAGTAAAGGTTGTATAACAATCTCATGCAAGGTATAGACTCTGAACAAATAAAGTCAACAGTGACCTCGCAAAAAATCTTTTTGACGTCGCATCTGCGGAAAGCAGCATTTTTTTACAGTCTATTTTCTTGTATATATTATGTAAGAAAGCCTTCAGATTTGCAGGTTTCATCTGGTCGGATCGATTGCCTCGAATCATGGTACTGCCATGCTAGATCGTTCCCAGATCTTCATCATGGACAGTCGCCACCTCTTCGTAGAACAGATTGAGTGAGCTGGTCACGGACATCTCAGGTCCCAATTTGCCGATCCCGATGGGAACTGATATTTGGGGAGCCCGATGTGGCCTCGAACCAAGACGTCGGTTGTCTTTTCAGGCTGAACATTGTACAAGTCTTCAATGATGCTGAGATATTTGCAAAACTCCGGACCGCAGGTGAATGCGATGGGGAACGAACGCGCTATTGTCCTCAGCGCGTCCACCACCACACCACGCGGGTCCTTCGTTTCGCCTGTCTCTCAGCTAGTTCTATTGATCTTTTGCCATCAGCAATCACCCGTCAACGGGATTGATCTGAGAAGCTCAAATCGGCAACGAACCCAGTTAAGCTGAGGCCGCAGTTTGTGGTGTGGTCGTGGAGGCGCTACTCCCCGGAAAGGACAATAGCGCGTTCGTTCTCCACCGCATACACCTACGGTCCGGAGTTTTGCAAATATCTCAGCATCATTGAAGTTATATTTCACAATGTATACCCTGCCGTTAAAAAGAGTAGCCAGTAAATATTAAGTTAAAATTGTGATTGTACAAGTCTGTCAACTTTTAAACCACCTAGGTAGATGTGCTACCTATCATTATTAGGATGTTCCAGTTTTAAACTATACTGGTATTCCTATTTCGTCGACGACGCCATGGGTATATGTAGCATGGGAAGGAAATCTCTGTCATGAAATTCCATTCACATGTTTCTCTACAAATACAGCTTCCATTTTTAGATTAACAAGTTAACTGCATACTTTGGCAATCTCAAGACCGCAACACCAACACCGTTACGATAGCTTCGTTATGATAAAACCCATCAAGACGTCATCATAAAGGATAAAGAGGATAGTGCTCTCAGCGTTGATCAGTGCCTGAAGGATGCAGCATGCATTCGACTTTATTAAGCATCATTTCGAGATGACTGAATCCATATCTGGCTTTTACAACGACTCGCTGTGGTCTACCGATGTATCGAGCCAGTGCTGCTATCCTCCCAGACAAGTCTGGTACCAATTTGCCGACCTCAGAGGGATGGAAGGCTTGGTGGGCCAGGGGCGCGAGAATCGACCCATGTATGTTGCAGGGCGCCTCTAACCATTGCGCTACCCACGCTCTATATATGCCGTCATATATACGGAAGTCGGTCAGCTACTGCTGTTTCCAACACTGTACGCAACAAATGCGTCGTCGAGGAGATTGCTTTCTGTATCTCTAAACCCCTAAAACACTAAAAACTTTCAAACTGTGTACTTTCGCTACCCCAACTCTATGTTTGAAATCCGCTTTTATGCTTTTAAACAGAAAAGCATCGAAAAAATAAGTTCAAAGCTGATGCAGTTCCCTGTATGATGACTCAATCACAGTGTTTAGCTGATTAATACCTTGAGCACGGTGACGTGGTATTATCTGTGCACAGTCGTCCTTATACCACTCATTGGCCTCAAATTTAATGTTTTCCACACAACCCTACACTCTTAGTTATATTTTAAACAAATCATTAAACAACCGTTATCTTCTACGCAAAAAGTGCTTTCGAGTGGTCACCGCTATCACAGAGTGCATCTTCAAGAGCCTTCGTAGCACTACGACAGTCAAAATACCAGCTTTGTACCTGATGGTGGAAATTTGGAAAAGAAATACAGTATCCCATAGTTTCTTTCCGCTCTAGGTTCTATTAAGCAAACCCTGTAAATGAAATGTAAGTACAAGAATGTTCAGAATATGGGCGAAGCCTAGGAGGGCTTCGAACCCGTGACTGCTCTTACCGAGGGCTTACATGCTATCCACTGCACTTTTGATGCCTTTACTTTGGCTTAGTCTCAGCTGTGTTTTTACTTTATCGCTTTTACCCCTTTTACACCAAAAGTGGTAAGCATGGAGTACAGTACTTTCCTGCAATAGAAAAAGAAAAGGCAATAAATAAAACTAAAACATTCCCTGTAAATTTAATGACAGCCAAGGTTTAAGTCATAAATCTTACTACAATTACAGTAACTTCTAGCTGCTTAAGTGTAGCAGTGCCGAAATGGAATATTCACCAGGTATCATAGATTAATCGCCTTGAGAAAAAGTTATTTCTCTGGAGAAATACGATGTTGTGTTTGCTAAATGAACGGGAAGGGTTTCATTATCAGCTGTGGCGCTATCGCCACTAATCTTCTGACTAGACATCTTTAAGATGCCATTGAATGAGTGTTAGCAAATGAGAGTCTTCTAACGTTCCTATACTTTTGCCGGCTCTTAGTAGAAATAACATCGAGCGTTGCACCAACTATCACTGTTGTTTATCTTTCTCATTGTTAAGACAAAGACTAGACCAAGACCAATGTGTCTGATATTCGGTCTTACGATCATCGGAAATCGTTCTCCACTAGTACCAAGCATTCTTTCGAATCAACCACAACATGCAACACAGGGAAAACGGGGAAAATGTACACAGCCACAGTTCACTTTAAAAAGGTAAAAGCTTTATTTTGAGTGAAAAAAGCTGGATCTAGGCAGTAATACGAGGAAAAAGTTCGAGTGTACAACGTGGTAATAGGGCAGTTCCAAATCAGCGAGTTCAGTTCTGGCAGTAAAAATCGCACTGGGCAGCGCAGAGTTCAAAGACACATTAAACAAGTTTGGAGTATCGTCTCTTTTTGGTAAAATGCATGAAAATTTTCGAGATAACAATTACGTTAAAACTGGAGAGTTTTAGTGTGTACACATTAAAGAAGCTTCATCAACGGACAAAACCAGAAAACCCCTCTGGTGGTATTTTGTTCTCATCTCCGAGTTAAAAAGATGCTAAATCTTAGCACAAAGTTTAAACTAGCTCTGCCAATTTGAATATACCCAATATAAAACCTTATAGATTTAAGTTAAATAGAGATTTTTCACCGAGTTTTGTCCGTTAAATCATTCATACGCACATGCGAGTAATTCAGATTCGTTGAAATCCTAACGAGTTCTTCCAAGGCGAGGTGTACAAACTCTTCAAGTCACTACGATCTTCCAGTTCTTCAGATATATGTCGAATTTTCAAACCTATTCAACAGAAAAATTATTCAAAAAGTGAGCAACATGGTCACTGGAAATGTCAAAAACCTTGCACTTGAATCCGGTCCAATTATAACGCATGCAAGTACTACAACAGACAACAATAGGAAAAGGTAAAGCCTGTAAGGTGTAGCTTCTCAAGAAAGCACAGCTGGAAGACGAAGGAAAGATCGGGAGCCAGCAAAGGATAACGCATTCAAATAGCGGGTTGTGTAAGACGAGCCCTTGGACGAAGTACGCCAGAATTTATAATAGGACTTACTTCAGGCTTACGTCGTAACACCCACACCTTCTGTGCGAACAAGTCCGGCTTCGTCATCTGAAGTGAAAAACATAGACTTTACAGTTCGTGATCACCTATGGAGGGTTTACTGTGAATTCCAATGTTTTCGAGGAGGTCAAACAAGCACTCAAGTTGTTCATGGCATGATCACTTGTGTAAGTTGAGGGTTCTTGCAGGAATCTCTATAGTTTAACGTCGTCTCATTAGGGAAAAATATGATAATCGCATGCGATAATGCTTAATTCGGTTACTCATTTGTTTTTCGCAGTTTTCTAAAGAAATGAAAAGCGAACAACACAAAAAAAATTGTCGCTGGCCTACATTTGGTATGTTTCGAGAGGAAATCTGGTTATTGCATATAATGAGTTGTCCGAAGACGTGTGTAGCCCATTGGTGGGGGCCCTGCAACACACACGTGGAATTGATCCGCGCCCATGACCCACCAAGCCTTCCATCGCTTCGGGGTCGCCAAATTGGTACCAGACTTGTCTGGGAGGATAGCAGCACTGTCTCGATACATCGGTAGGCCATCGTGAGTCATTGTAAAGGCTAGATATGCATTTAATCACCTCCAAATGATGCTTAACGAAGTCGAATGCATGGTGCATCTCTCAGAAATTGATCAACGCCGAGAGCTTTATTTTTTAATGAATTGTCCGGTGAAGAAATTTTCGCTTATTAGAAACAGTGATGTCCACAAAACGTGACCAAAGCTTCGTAAGCGTAGTTTCTTCTTAGATTAACTTCTACATTTCGGTGCGGCTATATGTAAAGTATAAAAGCAAAATTTTAACCACGTTTGAAGGTGGTCATTTTTAGTTGGAGGAGGAGCTCAAAATATGGTTTCATTTAGAACAATCTGGTAGGAAATACGGCCACAAACATGCCGGCTACTTTACGGTTTAATGTCCATGGTCTAAAGAGAGATCAGATGATTGAAAATTGCAAAGGGCACAGGTTTCAGGGCTTTTGGACCAAGAGCGCACCTCCATGTAAAACCGAGAAGTTGGCGAAACACCACGGAAAGTACCGCTACGTAGGTGAGCGTCACCGAAGAAGATCTGAAAACAAAGGAGAAGGATTACGGAAATTCGGAAAACTGCGAAAAAATTCACATAGTAGATGCAGTACTTCATATACACAGCGAAAGAAAAGCGAAAATTAGAACTTTTGTGGTAGGAAAAAGCGTCGGTTTAACGCTTTAGATAAAGAAGACTACATCTGTGAACAAGCTTTGGAAAAAAAGGAGAAAAAGTAAGAAATTTTTAGGTTGTAGTAACTGCCTATTTTTGAATACTTACTTACTTGGACGCGTGAATGACCTGTTGTGACTGCTTTTGCGGGTCCCAGCATAGTCTCCACTTTTCGGACTTTTGCTGGTTTAGCCGTGGTGTTTCCCTGGAGTGGCGAGGTCAGCCTGGCTAAAGTCTGCCCAAGGTCGTCACCACCACAGGCAGTCGCAACCCTTGTGGATCAGAGGGAGATTTGCTACCATGTGACTAGTTTGGTACCAGGACGGTAGCAGATCATGGTATTGGTTTACTCTTAGCTGGGTTTCCTGATGGAAACGCCGAACTCCTTTTCATCCTAGGAAATCGTGTCGGGGCGATGAATCTCCTCCCTGTACATCGGCAGTCCAACACCTAGGAACACCTCCCAGCCACGATGAGGCAGTAAACCGTTGAGAGGCTTTTTTGAATATGCTCAATATTTCGAAAACGTCAATAAATTACCTACTTATTTAGTTGAGAATAAGATTAAGGCAATAGAAAAGCTAAAAAATAATTCAAAATTACTGAGCAGGAAATCTTCAAAGTGGACACATACATCAGCTGGAGTGTATTCGTACTTGGCGATTCGGTGGTGGTGGAAGCCAAGCGTCTCTCGAGGTCGTGCGTAGCCTGCTTGTATCCATTCGAACCTGAAACGATCTCATTGGGTGCTAGTTATAGGATTATCCATTTATTAAAAATTATTTAAGGGTCGCGTGTGGCGCAGTGGTCGGAAACGTCCTACAAAACACATGGGATCGATCTTCTCGATGCTGGCCTACCAGGCCTTCCATCCCTCCGGGGTTAGTAAATTGGTACCAGACTTGTCTAGAAGAATAGCAGCACTGGCTCGATATATCGGTAGGCAATTGCGAGTCATTGCAAAGGCCAGATATGGATTAAATCACTTCCAAACGATGCTTAATGAAGTCGAGTGCCTGGTACATCCCTCAGGGATTGATTAACGCCGACAGTCTTATCCTTTATCTTCTTCATATATTAAAAATACTAGCCAGAAAGATACCTGAACATAGTAAAGCGATAAAGGATAGAGCACTTGGGAACATCCGGCTTCCAATAACTTGTGGTGAGCTATCGATGTTTCGTCTCATTGTTCTTACCTTTCTTAGAAGTCTGGTAGCAATTTACCAGCCCCGAATCGATGGAGAGCTTTGAGAGTTTCGAAGGAGTGATCGGATCATCGACCGATGCCGTGTGCATTGCAGCACACCTCCTACTATCACGTTTGACTCGCAAAGCTCCAATGGATACTAAGAGTTCATTTAACCTTTCTTTCCGTCCAACTCTTTCAATTCTTAAACTTGAAGGGTTTGAAGAAACCATAAGACGCTAACGGAAACGAAAGGAAAAGATGAATGACCTTGTGGTCCACCACACTGGTTTAAATGTTGCGTGAACGTTTTATGGACGGGCTTTGCAGGGGGTCATCGTTTTCTGCACTGCACTAAAGAATATTGGAAAAAAGACGTCGTTCTGTTTTCAGATGCGTCATTCGACTGGTGAACGACCTCCAACAGATAGTGGAATCGGTGAATGAATAGGCGCCTATGGTACATTACTTGTAGGAGTCCCCTAAAGTCAACATATTCGTTCTAAAAAATCCTACTCATCTAAGAAAATTATGTCGCCTTCGATGATCCATTACAGGTTCCTAATAAATAAAAACATTTCGATCTGATGCTCGGCAGTACCTTATCTGATCAGGCGGAAAAATTAACGAATTAGTGTGACCTAGTCACTTGATACTTGATACTCGAACGGCCCGTCCTCACTATTTGTGCGGGCTCCAGCCTAATCACTAATGTTCGGAGATCTGTTGGTTAAGCCATTGTGGTTCCCTGGAGTTCCGAGGATAGCCTGGCCAAAGTTTGCCCCAGGTCGTCACCACGACAGGCAGTTGCAGCGTTTGTGGATCAGATTTGCCACCATGCGACTTTGATACCAGGGCGGTGGTGGATCCTGGTATTGGTATTGGTTTACTCTTAGCTTGGCTTCCTGATGGAATCGCCGGACTCCTTCTCAGCTCGGGAGACCTTGCCGGTTGGACGAACCCCCCCATTGTACATCGCAGCGCGACATCCAGGAACATCTCCCAGCCACGATGGGGCGGTAAACCGTTGGGAGGAATTTGACCTAGTTAGTTTTTGAAACTAAAGAAAGGTTTCTACCCAGTTCAGTTTGTTCAGATATCCAGAAATCTTATCCTTTGTTTTGTTACATCGTAAAAGAAATAAGGCGCAGTCAATGTTGAAGCAAGTCTGTTTTGGTAACAAATGATGAGTTCTTAATCCTAGGTATTTGGATCCGTCGACCATTTGGGGTCTCTTGTCATTACCGAGTGACTCGAGCGACCATCACGTTTCATTTCTCCTTCTATCATTGTTTTTTCTTACCTTTACCTACCTGTTATCTTTTTTGTTGTTTTCGAAGACAGGATAACCATGATTAGCTCGTTAGTTGGCCGAATATCTTCACTGATATGTATTTTGTCACGGACCTTTCTCAATTCCTCACACAAGTGAATTCGGGTCAGTCAAAAATGCCACCATTCTATAGTTCGGTCACGGCTCTTATAGTGCAGTGGTTAGAAGTACGCTGCAGTATAAACTAGATCGGTCGAATGCCCGAACATGCGTCGTTGACTTTCCAAGCGATCTCTCCCACTGGGCTCGGCAAATAGGTGTCAGATTGGTTCGACAGGATAAAAACACCGACTTGGGAATGTCTAAGCTTTTGTTCACTGCCTAATTTTTTTTCCACGGCAGGATATTTATGTGAAATAGAACCAAAATGATGCAGAGATATTTGCAAAGCTACGTGAGAGGAGGGCAAAGCAAGGGCCTCAGTGGAGCAGTCCGTAACAAGTGAGACCAGGAAATGGTACTGACTCGGCACATGAATAAGCCGCCGTAATTCGTTGCATAGGCTAAACATTCGTTCCATGGCGCATTCCTCAGCACAGATCAACGCCAAACGCTTCATGCTTTACCCTTTTATGTAAGTTATTTTTCAAAAAACTCGTATGTGACAGGTAGAATATTAGACTGTTCTTGCATATCACCTACTTGCGCCTCGACAGTTCATTTATTTACTTTATTGGAAATCTTGATTGGGTGTTAAAAAACTTGATATGATATTATGCTAACCTGACCGATGCTAGGACCAATAACTGAAAAAACCGCGCTATTTTAATTAGGGTTTCGAAATACACGAGTATTAGGTCCATAACTGCTCAGTTGCTTAATCGCGGGAATCGCTGTCGTTCAAGAAGAATTCAAGTCGAACGGGAGTAAATCGTACTACGTGGCTATGGCTGGTGACTACCTATGCTGAAGACCCAAAGGCAACAAATTACGACTACCTTAATATTTCAAGAGAAAGGATGTACTCAGACACTATTCAAGATGTTAATGAAGAAGTTGGAGAAAGACTCCGAAACTGCAATCGAAGCAACGCACGAACGTGAAAGCTTCTGCTGATGACGACTGTAAGACGACAAAACGCATGAATGAAATGATCTTGGATGATTAATGGAATGGAGACAATGGCAATAAAAGTTGTTAGAGTTCCTGAAGAAGTTCACACGACTGAATACGAGGACCAATTCTTTCATTATGTATTCTTTCTTGATAAGCTTGCACGAGGTTGATAAATATATTTATTTTCGGCTAACGTTTCGACGTCTTCGTCTTCCTCAGAGCGGGTGATCCGAGTCGATGGTCCATGATTGTTGTTCGCCTCGACGTTGCGTCTTCGCCTTCGTGTCGAGCCAGATCTTCCTCAGTGAGCCATCTTCTCGAATGAGGCATTCTCACTCAGTGATGCCCTTTTATACACGATGCTGATGGTGGATATATAATGAACGTTAGCCGAAAATAAATATATTTATCAACCTCGTGCAAGCTTATCAAGAAAGAATACATATTGATTAGTCACACCGAGTTTTAGAGAAAGTCGGCTTCGAAATTCTTTCATTTATTCAACCCATCTATTCAGCCATTCGCTATTAACACCACTAATTCGACTGATGATTGACGCTGTGTAAAAAAAAATGTTGCTTGTTGCTTTAATTCCTTTTGTCTCGATTCTCAAACGTACCCCAGAATGACCACCGTCGTCGCTTTTTGCGCGGTGGGATGAATGTGAAGAACATATAGAAGCGTTCTCAGAATACGTTGTTCTATGTTGCCGATTGCTTCCAACGAAAATGACCAAGAGAGTCGTGTGCTATGATGCTCATTTTAGAGTTGAATAAAATCGGCTAAGAACTTTATAGCCAGTTTTATTCAAGTGAAAATTTCGGAAATTTGGTGAATTGTTGAGTGAGGTTACGTCATTTCAGCGGTGCTACACTGGATTCGACTCGATGAGATCACAAAGATTCGCATCGAAGAAGGAAAATCCGTGAACAGTAGACTCGGAATAAGCTGGTTCCGAACAAGGCGAAGGCACCGAAACGTTAGCGAAATAAAGTTTTTGTCGACCTTCTGTTATCTTATCAAATAAAAAGTACGTAAAAATTTTGAATTAACCTCAAGAAAGACAAAAATAGCAAAGAATTTCTAGGTGATCGTGGTGAGTACAAAAAAATAAAGTCTAGATTAAAAAGCACTGGCTTCGAACGCTATAATGAGGCCGATCTACCGACTGTTCATAAAAATGCGATTACTGCTTTTGTGTTCGAATGAATCGCTCTTCGAAAGAATCAGGCGAATGCGAATGTTAGGCGGCTCGTCGGCTGTGCTATCAATTTGTTCGATCACAGATGGTACGTCATCTGTGTTTATCAAAGCTGAAGGTGTTCACTGCCTTGAAGAAGAAGAATAATAATAAAAAGAAAAAGAAGAAAAATAAGAATAAGAATAACATCTACATGAGCTGTTCTTCTTCTTCTTCTTATTCTTTTTGTTCTTCTGCTTCTTAAAGGCAGTGAACACCTTCAGCTTTGATAAACACAGATGACGTACCATCTGTGTTCGAACAAATTGATAGCACCAGCCACAAAAGAACAAAACTAAGAGTGATTCACTTACTTTATAAAAGCACTGCAATCTCACCAACTATGGATGATTTTATCTTAAATGCAGACCGAGCTTCATGCTACGACAATTTTACAGTATATGGCACATTTCCAATCCAGTTAGAATTTTGAATTTAAATTCACTGTGAAATAAAAGTGAAGTCCCAATTTAAGAAGAAAATTAGAGTTTTTTGTAAGTTATCATCAAGGATCACTGTCCTTACCAAAAAAAACCTGCTACTTCTCAACGAATCTTTTAGATCTTCCATTCAAGAGATCTCAATTCGGATGTGTTCGAAAAGCTTGTAGTGGTTTATTTTTCACAATGAACGGTAAAATTAAGCGATCTCATGCGAAAAGCTTAGTTCTTTTCAAGTTTTTCAAGTGGGTGCGTCCCACTGTGCAAGTCTGAGGGCGATATGGACTTCACTTTTCACTTCACCTCGCAAATAACAGAAATACCACGATCACAAGTAGCTAACAGTTTAGATCTCGTTGTATTAAGGAAGTGCTTCTAGGTGTTGAGCCATGATCTACAACCAGCGCCTTTCCGCTGGGTCACCCAGTATCCATTAGGAAGCCTAGTTAGGAACGAGCCTATGCCTTGACAAAGCCCGATGAGTCAACCGTTGTTAAAGTTCCGCTAAAAACGATGAAAAAGGTGGCATCGTACAGAAAATGTGATGATGTTCTTATCACTTTGATCGGACACACGGAGTTTACTGAGCAGCTCGGGTGCGCGATGTGGACGAGAGGAATTTAGTAGCATCACTATACTCATTCAATGATTCACACAATGCAAGAGTGATGCAGGTGATTCACGTGATTAATTTCTGGTAAAAACGAGCAGATATAGGTTGACGACAAGCAGTTATGGGGCGAGTTTTTTGTACAGTAAGCGTTCATATTTGTAATTTTTGAGACGTCGTTTGTTCGAACGACGGTTGCTGTTCGCTGCAAGAACAACAGCTCCGTTGAACTACAGATCATTCCTATCACTACTTGATCATTTCAACATGTACATGGCATCCGAAGACTGAACGTGTACACGATTTCTAATTGCTTCTGAATCACCATCACTTCTGATCACGCTAACTGAGGTGCCGTTCATGTCGATGTACTGCTCAACGCCAAGTACTTCAGAGACTTACGGCATTTCTTCATTCGGATTGTTCTTGTTCCTTGAGAGCACACGAAATCCCTCGCAGAGTTCGACGGCATCACGATCTCTTCCAGCGAACCACGCACAAACCCGTCCGTCCTGGCGTAGGAATGCGTGTCCGAACGCCTCGTAGTGTAGACCACGGCCGTACCGACTCTTCGTTATCCTGCAATTTCCACATTAGTGCTGTAAATAAGAAAATGTCAAGAAGGTATGGTGAAGGTTTTTGACAGCAGATACCCTAAAATAGGCCAATATAATGAGAAGTCAACCTATTCTATTAAAATTCGCATTAGGTCATTCGTTGACATCAAAACAAAGAAAGAAAACAAAAAAGAAGTGGAAGGAGGCTTCGGAAAATTATAATAATGTACTAGGTAATTGTACAGGATTAATTCTAGATAAGGTGAGAGCTTAGTGCTGTAAATAAGCCAGTCAATTTAAATGATATTTAACGAAAATATGAATGTTCTGTGCAGAAAAGTGACAACGGTTTTTATTAAGTTCCATGGAGAAGCCCCAAGAAGCACTAAATGCTTCTGCAGAGCATGAAAACGTGGGTTTATTTTCCTTTAATAATCAAAGAAAACTAATTCACAGACATTTATGGTCGAAATCCAGAGGAGGAGAAAAGCGAAATTTTCGTGCCCACAAAAGTTTTTAAGTGAGAGAGTTCTTTTTTAAGTGGAAAAGGAATTCGCGAATGTGCGTTGTACGGCGTCTCACCAGTAGGCTACCCATCCATCGCGAACTCCTGCGTCGCCATTCTGTGGAAGCGTCAGGAAATCACTGATCTCGCGCCCGTGTCTGGAAAACTTCTTCATCATCTACCTCAACAATTGGGTACACTGTTGCTGAGCTCCTACCTACTACTCGTTGTTCAAATCATATAATGTGTTTCATAAAAATTATAAATAGTGATAAAGAAAAAACAGCCGACGTTGATCGCGCTGAGAAATACACAATGCATTCGACCGCTCAACTTCATAAAGTCTTCTTTGAGATGACTAAATGCATATCTGGCTTATATAATGACCAGCTATAGTCAGTGGATGTTTCAAATCACTGCTGTTATACTCTCAGACAAGTCTGGTACAAATTCACCGACGGCGGTGTAAAAGGTTTGATGGACCAAAGGCGCTGAGTAGTTGCAACGACTAACCCCATATGTATTGCAGGACACCTCTAACCATTACGCTTAACGTGCCCGAAAAACATACCTTCCTCAATACGTACCGAAAACTAGGAGTAACTGAGAACATATAAATTCAATTTGGGCAGGTTTTTGAAGTAATAGTAAGTAAGAGAACCCTGAGAGTTATTTTTTTCGGTTGTCGTCTCAAATCGTGCAGTTTTTAGCAAGTGCTTTACAGCATAAAATGATAAAAACACATCATACCGACAGAACGACAAAACTGTGACTGAAAACACAGCCAACACTACTCAGTATTGTATTTCGTATACCTCACGCTACACGAAAGTCGTTGTGGTCGAGATTTCTTCAGTAGTTTTGTACTCAGCTGGAGTCGCTTGGAATAATTAGGCAATAGATCAGCCAGGGTTAACTCGTCGCACTCTTCGTCGCAACAGTACGTGGTCGTCCAGCGAAAAGCTTCGGTGGGTGGCACAGTCGCGTCGTGAATCTCTTTGAAAGAGTGTAAGGGTGAATTTCAATAATTTAGCACCAAAATGAATGGCGTTTTTCATGCATTCTTCTTTGCGTTTGAGCAACAACAGATGGATCAGAGTCGTTGTGACTGGGTTCCTCGGTATTAAGACAAAACGCACGGCAGGAAAACCACCGACGTCGATGGTCAGAGTAGGTGACGAAGCCCAAGAAGAAAGATACGATGTTCGCGAGTCTCTAGAGAAAACAGGGTCACCTGAGGTACTCTTGCACGTTACAGGTAGAAATGGAAGATTACTGGCGCCCAATGGAGTCACTCGACGCTCATCACGACGTGAGAGTGATACAGGTGATTGATGATACACAAGTGCCTTTGCAATGGTAACAAGTGAAAGCTGGTGCGTAACGCTCAAGTAGACCAATATTCGAGTGATTCTGTTAGTCCATTCGGGATAGAGAGAGATCGGTGCTTGACTCAGTCGAATATCGAAAAAAAATCTATATTTAGAGTAGCCTAGCATTCAAGTAGTGTTGAACTAGCCGAAGGATAACAAATAATATTCAAAATGAAACTGTGTGGATGGCGTTTCATAAAAATTCAAATATCTTTGGAAAGAACCAGATAACCTACCTTGTGCAAATTATATTCAATTTGGCTCAGTGGGAGAGCGAATATACTAACCTTTAAAATATCAACGAAAAGTAAGCTAGAACTCTTGGAATCAATGTATTTTATAGCGATTGAAAGCATAAAGATTATCAATACTTCCATAACAACGAAAAGTGGCTGCAGTGAAGTACCTCAGCTTGCCATCGTAACCCACAGACGTCCAGTACTCCTCGCCAACCTGTGAGAGTTTTGGGCTACAGACTCTCCTTCTTATGATCACTTGTTCCTAAAAAGAGTTTATGCTGAAAGCACGATCCGACTCAATACACATGTGGACTCACCGTAACGCGACTCTCTCGATAGCGACATCGATTACTAACACCTTGAGTGACGCCGAATAACGTGCATATCACCAGCAGAACATGCACAAGCATTTACTAAAGAGCTCACACTTTCAGAAAATCACGGTAATTGAAGCTATACGCCTCGTCCATTACTTAAAAAATCGAGCATTTGAATGAGTAATAGAGCCTGGTGAAAATTTGAATACTTGAATTTCTGAACACTTACGCGACAACACCCAATTCCACTTTTCTCCAAACACCGCCGGAAGCAAAATATTCCTGTAGAGATCACCCAAACCACTGTATCTCATGAAACAACTCCCACAAAGGTCAGTTTGTCGCGCAAGTGTTAAGATTGATGGGTTTCTTAGACTTTCTAAGATGGGAAGTACTAGAATAGATCCAGTTGATGTGATAGATGTGTTAAAGCAAACGACACCCGAGTTCTTATCGTAGTTATTTCATGTAATTAAGAAGAATAAACCCAAACCAGGAGAGCAGAGTTGTTTTACGATTTTGGAGATCTTATAACATACAACTACAAGAAATAAATGAAGACTCTTGGAAACGTTGGTCGATAACAACGCATTTTAAGGAAGAAACACCTCCGTCTGACGAGGTAAGTTTGTTTAAAAAGGCAAAAGGAAAAGCAGTGGCAGTGAAGTAGAAAGAGAACGTTGCCAAAAAAGCCGTCTAAGGTTCTAACGGAATAGTCAAAGTAGTTTTAGGATGTGTCAAGAACATAAACATTTCGAAACACTGCTATGAATCATATGTTTTAACTAATTCGAATCGAATGCCGATCACTCGTACCTTGACATCGGCAACTTCTATCAAAAAATATTGCCTTCAGGTTAATGTGACTCTAAGAGGAAGATGGTAAGGAAGGTAGACACGAGCGAACGTGGGAGTTAGAGACGATGATGAAACTAAATATCGCTTGATGCAATGTTGTTGCATCAAATGTAATTTTGAAAACGAGAATTTTGTGAGACGATGACGCGTGAAGAAGAGATGTACATTGCCAGACATTGCCAGCACTTTGACGATCAGCATCGTGGATGAGTGGGCTAGCGCCTTTCGACATAAACACATAACCAAAGACGCAGTTCGATTCATTAGAGGCGACGGATTTCGTGGAATAAATCATGGCTGATTTTCCTATAAAAGTTACGTTATATTTGTAGTACGAGTGGAGAACTATTTGGCTTTTTCCCCATTCGAATCACTGGTCCCTTGCTAATCTGACATGGGCGAAAAACCAACAAAGTTTGGTCTTATCGTGAATATTTGAGGGATTGTTTATATCCTACTTTATTCTTTCACCTAATTCTTCTACTTAGATTCTTTGGCAATCCGTTTTCAATATCCATCAGACACTGGAACATCACTGGTCGACGAGCACTCGGTGATATCAGATTTCCCAGTTGCAGCGTTGTCAAATAACCGCCACCTATGGTTAACCAGAGAAGAGTTTCACCAGCTAGCAATCAAGATTTGCCACAGATAAAAAAGAAGAACTTTTCATCATAATGATTCTGCAGTGATAAATCTCGTTATGCATTCACCTAGAAACACCTTTGGTCACTACGAGGTAAGGAACCATCGAACTAGACTACACTACTAATAAGGTTGTCGAAGCATTTTTTCTAAAGAAGGTGATTAAGCCGTCGTAATTATTAGTAATAGATAAGAAGTAGCAAAACAATGCTGATGTAGGTAGGAAAAGAAGTGCAGATGATAATTATGTCTGATTAAATAACTTAAATACGTACTACATAAATACAAGGGAGCGTGTGGCGCAGTGGCCGGAGCCGATCTGCAACACACACGTGGAATCGATCTCCGAGCCCATGGCCCACTGAGCCTTCCATCTCTCCGGAGCCGGCACCTTGCTACCAGACTTGTCTGAGGGGTTAGCAGCACTGGCTCGATATATCGGTAGGCTACCGCGAGCCATTGTAAAGGCCAGATATGCGTTCAATCACTTCCAAAGATGCTTAACGAAGTCGAATGCATTAGCGCATCCCACGGGGATTGATCCCCGCCAAGAGCTTTATCCACTATTCTTTTTACATAAATGCAAAAACACATACATACTATATACTACTACGTACTGCATGCATATTACCACATACTACCGCATACTTAAATGCATGCTACGTGAAACCGAATGTTGAGTTGCTTTCAAGGCTTTTTTTATATGTACGACTGTTAGCACTAGAGCTATTCAACTGGAAAATAGATAAATAAAAAGATCGGATATCGTTTGTCAACGAAACACAGGATTCCGTAGACTTGACCAAGTAGTAGAAAAATCGCACAAAGACTTTTTTTGAGTCAACAACACCATCAACAACTGCGAGTGCCAACACAGACGTGTTTCCGCCAACAAGTATACGCAGAGGCTTACAAAAAAGACAAACGCTTCGGAGTTTTCTTGCCTTTTTTCTCATATGGAGTTCTTCCCAATTTGTTAAAGAAGCTAAGAAGTTCAGAAAATCAGATGTCAGGCGATGTGACGAAATTTGCGATTTGCTAGAAGAATTTTGACACACATGTATGAAAGTAGTGGGAAACGAAGAAAAAAGCTTGTCTGGCAAAACCATAACTAAGATTATCACTCGATTTAGTTTATTACAGTAATGCTTTAGACGAAAGATGGAATGAGTTTATAAAGTCACCAACTGCAATGCTTTCTGTTAGATATGTCAGATGTTTGGCTTAGGTAAAAGCCAATAATAATAACAACTAATAATAATAGTTGCATAGGTCTGACGACTAAACAGATGCTTCTACGGAGGTTACAAAACAATGTAAATTAGAAACTGTTGAAATATCTACATATTGCAAAAGAGCCTATTCCTTTAAACGTTACATTTTTTGGACGTTACAAAATCTAACAAAAACGAAAAGCTTCAAGTGTCAGTCAAATCAGCACATTCCCGCTCAATTCGGTCCCTTCTTCGAAAAGTGTGGAAAAACTAGCCAGGAATGAGAGATGACTGATAAGGGAGCATATCTATAGCAATAATTCTTATTCAATAATTCTATACCCTCGTGTGGATTGTCCTCCTATTTGCACATTTCTGGAAATCCTTAAGATTTTGGAATCGACCTTTATCGGAAGGAACTAAGATGAAGTAAATTCTACGTCAGATTTTCATGCGAGTCATACGGTACCTTCTTCAAATTGCGGACTAACCATGGTAACCACACATTGTTTGCCATGAAGTAGGAGGTTCAATGTTGGTTTCTCTTGTTGATAACTGTTGCTTTGTCTACACTCCACTGATACAATGGTCATGTTCGATGCAGCAGAGGTAATTTTGAATGTACAAACCCACGAAAGGGCTTATTGGGTAGTGAGTTTGATTCAGAAAGGGCGAATATTCAGCTGCATTTACATATTCTTTTGCTACATTGCGTCACAAGAAATTCTCATCAAAGTAGAAATGGTTATGCAAATTCTTGAAAGAACCGAGATGGTTGAGGCATTTATCCAACGTTGGGACAATGATCTTTTCAAAACAGTCGTCGTGAATCGTGAACTACGTCGGAAACTTCCTTCGACTGTCGCACTGAGTGCAATGAGATAGTCGGACCGTCCGCAGTGTTCTCGCAGTGCTTCCTGAACTAGTCAAAGTTCATCGACACAACGAATGTAGCGTTCTGTTAGTGCACAGAGGAACCCGTGTGGTAGCCGCTGTCACGAACTGACTAACGTAATATCTAAAAATGTTGCTTTTCGTCAGCTCCTGACAAATTTGGAAAGCTTTCAGAACAACTCTGTTTCATAGTTAAGAGTTCTAAGTTGTAGAAGTGTCTCGGTATCCTCCAACCATTCTGCCGGTTGCTGCTGTAGCTACATACTTCCACTCAGTCTCCCAGAGTACTAGTTTTTCAAAAAAAAAGGAAGTATTTATTCCCTCTAAATAGAACTGCCTTATTAAATGTATGTGCTTTCAACAATCGTTGTTTTTCTGCTATTCTAAACCATCACGCAAATTGCTCTGTGTCGTTGCGGAGGAAAAAAAACCTAATTGTAGACGTGTCGCTCGCTCGGTCACCAATCGCCATTACTTTTATGAATGCTTCGATCTGTTCAAATTAGTTCGTTTACGTGATTATTTTACTACGTAAAAAGGCGCTATGAAAATTAATTGGAGATGTGAATTGGGTAAATGGTATTCCTGACGAAAACGAAAGACATCATAAACACGGCAGTTGTTCTGAACTGGTGCCCTCTTTAGCTTTTGACAACCAAACGAACACTTATAATGTGAAAAACAACTATTGCTGCAGCCATCAGTGAAAAACAAAGATCGAGTAGTCCTTAGGATGTTTCGAGTTTCTTTTCGGCTGTGGCTGATTTGTGACCTGGTTATCAAAAAACAAGTGGATCAGGTAAACACAGTACCTCAGAGAAGGCAGCACCGCACTACTCTCAGAAACCTCCAGCAGCTGCAGCAGCAGTAGAGCAGCATTTTACATGCGCAGTGGCCAACACTGCACTTAGAAACTGCGACGAGTCAGAGCACGGCGATCAGCTCTAAGCAAACAGATCGCTGTCGCTCAATGAGACCATATATCAACGACGAGCTGGAGGAAAAACACAGCAGGTTTCGATAAGCGGGATCTCGTTGAAGCACAGGCTACGAGCGGGAATTCTTAATATTTGCCCTTGAGAAAATCGTGCGACTAGAAGACGATTCACAAAGGATTTAGATATTTATGGAGCAAACATTGACAACCACTCCTAAACGCATGCTTATTAAATCTGACTGGGTCGTGTCCATTAGCAAATTTAAAAGCCTTTTTCTTACTTTAGACAGTGTTAAGTAAATCAATAAATCTTTATCACCTCTGTGAAAACATGCGCAGACAATGTCTGATTTTCAACGGCGACTGCGTGGGATGATGTCTAACTTTTTGCTGCTTGCGCTTAGTCATAGGTGAGTCATGCAGTCCAGCGTCCCACCCCTTTGGCAAGGAGATCAAATACTCTCCTCGTGTTACCCACTGTATACAAAACGCAAACAAATCGTTGCGGAACTCATGTAACTGTATTTGCCCGCACTGTCAAGTGT